CAGTGAGGTTATTGAATTGAATCAAAGCTAGTCTTATTACAGATTAGATTACGTTCAAGAATTTATTTACAATTTCTGGTTTTCATCTCTTGGTTTTTTGAAAAGGTTATTGTTCTGTAGCACTATCCTAGGAATAGAAATTGTAGATCTTAACCTGTTGCCATTGGTTATTATGTGAAAAATGCAACTAGTAGATGATTGATTTGGTCTCCTCAAACTATTTCTGGGATTGTCCCTACTTGAAGATACACTTAAAAAAATTGAGGTTGGTGTTGGTAACACCAAGGTCAAGGGTTTGGATCCTCATATTGGTCAGCTGCCAAAAAAAACCCCAAAATATATTGAGGTAATTTTAAAAAGCAGCTCATGTTTTGAGTATTTTAAGAGTTTGCTGTGAATATCTAAGTCAGATTTGTGATTAAATTATAGCCAAATGGTTATGATACAAAGAAAAAGTACTACTGAATTTCCTTTTAATATGCAAAACCACTTAAATGAATTAAACTCTGGAGAGAGGAAAACTACCTAGACATTGTAGCCAGCCACATCTGCATCTTTCTGCTGACCATGGTAAAGGACATTCTGAACATTACCACTTAAAACTAACTTTTCTCTTTAAGGGTTCCTGAAATTGTGCCAGCTGACTCCAGGCCCACCCTGACCCCACAGCATAAACCATGCTGTGATGTCACAGCTACCATAGAACTCCAGGGTAGTGTTGGCCCATGTGGGCTCAGGTAAGTCCTGGCTTTTTTTTTTACCATTTGGCATTCTTTTCAAAGTTAGTTACCATTATGATTTTATGTCATAAAGGAAAATAAGGCAAAACTTTGAAAACTGTGCCATATATGGGGGAAAAAAATAAGTCTGTTTTCTAAACATCTATGAGCCAGCTCCATATTCTAACCAACGGAGTTCCATAGTAGCTGTGAAGTCCCCAATGAGTTATTGACCAATGGCTTCAAAATGTTAAACTCTATTCCTGGCGCAGTTTGCAGAACAAATATGAGCTGCTGCTTTTATTTATTTATTTATTTTATTTTATTTATTTATTAACTTTGTGGCTAGTAATATATATTATAGTAGCTTTCATTTATTCTTAGTTCTTCATGTTTTTAAAAGTGTATTAACACTTTCCTTTGTCTGTAATTATATATCTCTGTTTACCTGTGTATTTCATTCAGTCAATTTTGAATGCATGACGATACTTCAGGTTAGTTTTATAAAGTTAATCTTCTCAGAGTGTCTTCAGCTGTCTTTTTATAAGGGCACTTCAAAAAGTTCCCTCCTTCCATGAACTTTTGAAGTACCCTTGTATTTGCTTTCATAGCATGAAGGAGGGAGGGCCAGAGTAAGTAATGTGTAATATATGTTGGTTAAAATTTCAAACTATTAAGAGAAAGATTGCTTCAGTTCCTCTTGGAGCTGTTGTGAGATGTCAGTAACCTAAAAAGCATGTATAGATCATCTCTTTCTCTTGGAGCTTTTTGGTTTTTTTCCCTTGCATTTGTTCTATAATGTGATTTTAGCACTTAACATTTATTTGCTGTCTTTTCCTGCCTACCAACTCTTCTCCCTTCCTACTTTCCTTTTATCCCCTGATATTAAAAGGTTTTCAGATGTTTCGCATATACTTTGATTCTTTTTCCCCCCTCCCTAAGTAGAAAACATTTGATGGCTAAAACTTTAAATTATATGAATATGCACCAAAGCCTCTGAAATACCGTGGTTACAGTGAAAACCCACGAGTGAAGAAGCTGTCTAAACTTTTACCAGTAGTTCTTTTTAAGCAGTACATAATAAAGATATACCAAAAATTTGGAACTTCAGTGACATTCTCATGAGCTTTCTTTGGTAATAAATTTACTAATCTTTATTGCTGAAAACTTACCAGTCACTGAAACTATGAGCTCTTAAGTATGGTTAATGAAAAGAATGAAATTATACAATCCCAAAACATTTGGACAACAAAATACTTTTCTTTTAAATATTATTTTATGCCTATACTTAAATATGTGTTTTTCATGCTCTGGGAAGTTTGGAGAATTTTGTGCCCTGAAGAATAGAGAACAAAGTCTCATATTCTGCCTTCCTGTATTTATACCGTGCTAGAGATTGGGCAGCATACCCTATCTGCAGTTTAATGGGAAGATGGGAAGGAGTAATTAAGTTTTTTTCATATTTTGGATTAGGTCAAATGGAAATCCTAGTTGTGTGTGTTTGTGTGTGTGTTATCAGCTTTATTAAGATATAATTCACGTACATGTAATTTGGCACTTCAAGTTCTGTTTGTATTTTTTTAAAATGCCTTACTATGAAGGCACAGTTGGTGATGTTATAAATTAGTTTCGAAGCATAGTTCACTAACTTTTTTGTGCTATTTGGTCTGCAGCTCCATCCCCCATTGTGCTAATTAACTCCTAATTACAGAAATCCCTCAGAAACATTACAGAGGAAATGAATTCTTAGGAATTTCTAAGATAAAATTCTTCTAGACTTCACCTGTATGAAGAGTCAGTTAGGAATAGTAAAGATATGGTTAGAGCGCGGTGTTGTAATAATACCAAGGTCAAGGGTTTGGATCCCTGTACGGGCCAGCTGCCAAAAAAAATAAAGACAGTGATTTATAAGATCTCCCTATCTTCCAACCAAAAGGAAGAAGTTATTTGGTGGTGTTTAGGTTTAGATTACCTCGTCTTTTGCTGTAACACCAAAGTCAAGGGTTCAGATGCCTGTACTGTCCAGCACCGCACCCCCCCAGCCCCCCCCCCCAAGAAGATTACCTCATCTTTGTTTCTTGGAAATAAAAATATACACATACATATGCATATATTGTACAGATCTTCCTCTTTGCCTTTTCAAGTAAATTAATCAGACTTGAGTTGCTTTTGGAAGTGCTTGGAACATTTCTTACATAATACAAAGAAATTTTATAAATGGATATATTTTTAGGATAAAGCTAAAAACCGTGGAAAGGTGCAGTGGTGCTATATACACTTGGAAAATACTGCTTTGGTAGGACCGAAGGGAAAAGTAGTTGCCTTCATATGGAAGCATTGTGGAAACAAAAGGAGATGAGGTGGGCATGCTCAGCTCTATATAAAATAAACTGCGTTTAATTACTCAAAAAGTTATGGGCCCTACTGGGTTATTCTTAACTGTATTAAAACAAGTTAAGCAGAAGTTTTAGAGTTCTTTGTGTACTTGAGCCTAATAACTAGAAGTAGAAAAGTTAAAGAGAAAACTCTTTAACTATAGATTTGTTTTTAATTCAAGTAGCATTTTCTGTGTCTATTTTCAAGGCTTGTCTTTTTTTTTTTTTTTTTTTTTTTTTTTTTGTCTGGTGACTGGCCGGTACAGGGATGGAACCCTGGACCTCAGTGTTAGGTGCACCATGCTGTGACCAATTGAGCTAACCAGCCGGCCCTAGGCTTGTCCTTCAAAGGGAAGTCTTACCACCCTTGTCTCATACCAACCTTATTACATTTTAGCCTTGACGACTGCTTTAGGACACTCTTCCTTATAAAGATGTTTTGAAGCACTTTATAAAGGGGGGTGGGAGCTATAGCTGAACTTATATGTATATTATGTATATTAATCTACATTGGTACAAAAATAAAAATTTCTTTAGGAAGATATTTTCATTTAATATCATGGGTTCTTAACCTGAAAAATATATATGTCTGTGTTGTGGGCAGGGGGTCATTTTTCTGGGGAGATGTAGATTTGCAGAAAGGATCCTATGACCTTGGAGTTTGAAAAGTTTCGAAGCTGACTTTTTATGGCTTACGAATGTGATTGAAAGGACTGTTTTGAATATAGGAGTCATGCTTTTATTCTCTTTGTCTTTCTCATATTGCTTAGCATAGTGCTGTATATGTCACGATCATTCAATAAATATGGGAATTAAGTTATCATTTTAAAGCTTTGTTATCTTTAATAATGGAGAGGGATGGTTGCATTATACAAATCTCTTATACTCTAAGGAATATCTCATTCAATTCCTAATTCAAGATGGCAATTAAAAATACTTTTTTTGAAAGCACACTAAGAATATTTTTAGCTAGTATTAGCATTTTACCCAACAAATAAATTTGTTCTGATGTAACTTAGGAAACTCTTAAAATTGGAAGCCAATCTACACTTTCATTTTTTGCCAAGGCTTTTTGTTTATTATCCATATTGTCCTATATACTGCTTAGGTAAAGACAATAATTCTATTTACTAACATTAATTTGTGTTAAGATTAATCAAATGGTTCAGTGGGAATAGAAAGTTCTTTATGGAATTGGAAAAGGTGATACTTTTTTTTTAACTCCCTACCCCCAACTGGTTTGTTATATTTTATTTTAGTGTATTTTATTTGAAAACATCTGGTTCAATTTTTACTTTATTAATAATTCTTAATGAGTGTAAAGAAGACTTGGCTGTGAGAGATTCTAAAATCAAAATATTGCCAACTTTTACTTAAAATGAAAATGGTTTTGATCGCTCTAAGTTGTTTCAAAGCTAAACAGCAGTATGGAAAGCCCAGCCAGCATTTGTTTTGATTCTGCTTTAAGAATGCAGTGTAAAGAACAGCAGCAGCCCAACTACTGCTGGAAGCACATCCCTGCCTCCTTGGTTTTTGCAGAGTCAGGATGAATGCAGGACCAGAACAGGGATTTGGTTTCTTCTGTGAAGTCTAGTTTCTTAATACTAGGTTACTGATCCTTGATCCAATTAATATACTCCAGTAGTTCCTCTAAACCCCACGAGAGCGTGGAGCCAGCACTGAAGGTAAGGTAAGTGCCTAATAAGGCAGTTATAGTTCTGGAAAGAAATTTTTAAAAGGGGAATGAATAAACTAACTTTCCTTATCTTCCTTAGGACATTTAAACAATTCCCCAGGATCAAGGAAGCACAGAGAAATGCTTAGAGTTTGGAGTGAATACTACGGATTTGTGCTTTTTTGAAGAAAAATAGAATTAAATGCTTTTCTATCTTGATGCTTGTTTTAGGGGTTGTAGAAGGTGATTTAGCTGCCATAGAAGCATACAAGTCATCGGGAGGTGATATTGCACGTCAGCTTTCTGCAGATGAAGTGCGCTTGCTGAACCGTCCTTCTGCCTTTGATGTAGGCTATACTCTTGTGCACTTGGCTATACGTTTTCAGAGGCAGGATATGCTAGCAATATTGCTTACAGAGGTGAGTGTGGCATTTTGGTTAAATGTTCTTTTATATTAAGGAAATGTGTTCTTTAGTTTTTATCTTTGATGTTTTAATGTTTCTCCAAACAGTTCTTAAATATTTTAGGTTCTTTTCCCACCTTCTAAAAATCACATTAAACTTAAGAGACTTCAACAATATATAATTCTTAAGCGTATGTGCTTTTTTGGGGGGGGCAGCTGGAAAGTATAGGGATCCAAACACTTGACCTTGGTGTTATAATACCACACTCTAACCAACTGAAACAGTCAGCTGGTATATGCTTTTAAACAGGGCATTTTGCCATAGTATTTGATTGATCTATTATGTTTGATTAAAAAAAACTGGGATGTGTCTGTCATTCATTCACTCATTCAACTAACAAATGTTGAGTACCTATTATGTGCTAAGCACTGTGCTGAGAAGGAATAGAATTGTGAAGACATTGGCTCTTCCTTCACTGAATCTTCAGAAAAGTAGAGAAATGAACAGGTAGTTCTGTGCAGTGGGTACCCGGACAGATTGAAGTGCCAAGTGCTGTGTGAGTTCTACAGAAAGAGTTTTGAGGTGTCTTACGTTCTTTCTTACAGCAGGTAACATTTTAGCTAAGATTTGAAGGAGGAGTAGGAGTTAGCCATGTGAAGTGGATGGGTGAGAGAGGGGAGATGAGGAAACCATTTATTCAGGGGCCAGGGATTGTGGTAATTGTGATGAATTCAGACTTGCATGTAACTCGGCATGGTTGAGGTGGTGATTGGGAACTGAGAGAAGGGAAGTGAGAGAAGCAGGGGCCAGATTATGACAGATCTTCTGTGTCAAGCAATTTGAAGATTATTCTCGGGGCATTGAAAGACGTTAGGTAGGGCCGGCCCGGTGGTGCACTGCGTTAGTGCGCCACTTGGGAAGTGCGGCGGTGCTCCCACCGAGGGTTCGGATCCCACATATAGACCGGTTCCCGCTCACTGGCTGAGCAAGGTGCGGGAGCAGCGCCGAGGGTTGCGATCCCGTTGCCGGTCCCAGTCCGGTACGGGGGCGACACTGAGGGTTGCGATCCGTTGCCGGACATGGAAAAAAGACAAAAAAAAAAAAAAAGAAAGACGTTAGGTATAGGAGCAATGGAGCGACAAGAGCGGATTGTGTTTTGGCTGCTCCGTGTTGGAGAGTGGCAAGCCTGGTTAGGAGGGCATTGCAGTGATGCTGGCAGAAACTCTGCTGGTAGGGGAGTGGCCATGGAAATGGAAAGAAGTAGGCTCGTTTGAGAGAGATCATGGAGCTGTAGTTAGTCGTTAAGAAGTAGCTAGATTGAATGTGAAGAGTAATGGTGAAGTAAGGATCCAAGTTGATTCGGAGGTTTCTGGCTTACATAACTAGGTAGATGTTGCACATGATAGAGGTTGCAAATGAATTATTTAGGATGCAACTATATTGGCCAGGTAATTTTTATGTTATAAGAGAAATAGAGTGAAAGTACAGAGAGTCAGATCGATTGTGGATTCAAATTTTGTCAGTATACATCTTCTGTATACTTATATTTGTTCATTTAAATTTGCCTGTATTTGTGAACCATTATGCACAGAGTACTGTATGTGGATTAAAAAATATGAAGGTTAGATGAAAGCATGATTGAAATGGCTGGCTATTGTGTTTGGTAAGATTCCAGTGAAGAGAAAGGGGACGGTTTGAGAGACTGAAGGCCATCATGAAAACAAAGGGCAAGCTTACTGAGTGTAAGGGAGAAGGGTACTGTGTGAAAAGGAGCAGTGTGATTAGAGGGATCAGAGTTCTGGAACGTGGGATAGAACAGTTAGAGGTAGTTTCTATAGTGACTGAGGTCTGGCTGCATTTGTGTTGCAATGCCCAGTCACGTTGTATGTTAGGGAGGCTGTAAATGTGGAGTTGTAGTTGCTTGTGGTGGCAGGAGACAAAATAGAGAAAACAGCTGTGAGCTAGGGTTGAAGTCTTTAGGAGGTTCCCCTGAGGCTGCTAGAGGACTATCAGCAAGGTTCTGGAGGGGCTGTCATTAGTCACCGGCCTCCTAAGAGCAATATGGGGACTAACAGTACGATTATAGAACACCAGTGTATTTTTTATTTATTGCTATGCCACAAATTACCTGAAAACTTAGCAGCTTAAGACAACAAACATTTGTTCTCTCACAGTTTGTGAGGATCAGGAATCTGGGAGTGGCTTAGCTGAATGGTTTTGGCTTAAGGTGTCATGAGTTTGCATCAAGCTGTTAGCCAGGGCTGTAGTCATCAAAAGGCTCAACTGGGGCTAGAGAATCTGTTCCCAAGCTTACTCACATAGCTGTTGGCAGTAGGCTTCAATTCCTTGCCACATGGGCCCATCCGTAGGGCTGCTCATGATGTGGCAGCTGGTTTCACCCAGAGCAAGTGATTCTAGAGAGGGAGAGAGTGTGAGAGAGTGACCCAAATGAATTCTGCAGTGTGTTTTATAAACGAATTTAGCAAGTGATGTACTGTTACTTTTGCCACATTCTGTGGGACACATAGACCAACTCTGGTACAGCATGGGAGAGGTGGAGGGGGGTTGTTCCAGGTAAAGAACAAAATTGGTAATGGAATTTAGTCTCAGTGGAGTAGGTACTCCAAAGGGCAGAATTAAAGAGGCCAATAGGGAGATTGGGAGGGGGGCATTTTTAAATACATAAAATAAAATAAATAGGATTACAAAGGAAATCAGTTGTATTGAAATACAATTATCAAAATACTAAACCAAATTTGTGATATCTAAGAAAATGCATTTTAATATATTCAAGAAGTTAGTGAAAAAGCAAATTCCCATTCAAGTTCACAGACCCTTCCTGAATTCAGGGACCCTAAGTTAGGAACTACTAGCCTAAGGAGATGGTCGAGAATCATAAGGTTGAAGAGGCGAGAAGATGAGAGGCGGGCTTCAGGGGGGACATGTTCTGCTTAAGGATAGTGGTAGAAGGGGAATGCTTGGGAGGCCAAATTTTTCTGGGAATGTTCGCAATATTCAAGGTCCAGTCCAGGTTGTTTTTAGAAAGGGGCTGAAGACTAGCAGATTGGAATAAGCCATTTTTGAATTTACTTTTGGTGTCTGTTTTAACAATGTTACTTGAGAAATAGTTATATTCTGAAAATATTTAATATTTGGTTTTCCATATTTTGAGTTGCTTAAAGGTTGGGTTCATGGAGATAAGATATACTGAGAATTTTTATGGTGGTCCCAGCCAATAAAGTCTTGTAGACCTGAATTTTCATGTAGGAGTTTTCAAGATAGGGAGTTGGGTGGCTATGTTGGGTACACAGGGTTTTCGCAACATCATTTACTTATCTTGGCAGCAATTGTGGTTAAGTCGTCAATATGTTATGTGTACGTTATTAGTAAAACTTACACTTTGGCTCACTGGAAGATATGCTGTCTGACTTGTGACTGGAAGGCTGCATTTGGGAAGGTTGTCCAGGTTGGTGGCAGCAGAGAGCAGAGCTCACCAGCTCACTCAGGATTTGCACCAGACTTTTTCCTCACTAGCAAATACTCACCTTTGATTTCAGAATTCTCTGTATGTAGATTTCTTGAGCTCCACAAACTGAACTCAGCTGAAAAGTAAGGTGAAATATTTGCATCGTTAGTTGCTATTCAGCATTTTAAAAAGGGGAAGAATGTTTTAGCCGTCTATATTGTTGTATATCCTTCCTTAGGGGCCTCTGCCGTAGTGCTCACTGCAGCAGTGCTCACATCTCACTCTTGTCAGGCTGGACTTGGAAGGATTGCCGTCTGGGTTTAAACCTGGAAATGCCAAATGCTTTTTAAAAATTCAGAGTAGTAACTAAGAGGTAGGGGGAAGAGATTTGAGGTCAGTGGGAACTAACCCTTCAAATATTGTGCCTTCTTTATTCCAAGTCAGAATACTTGAAACGTGGGAAAAGAGTATTTGCAGTTTTCTCTTTCTCTGTGAGCTGTAATTTCCTGTTTTTTAAGAATGTTTTTATTGGGTGCTTGAAGGTTAGTCTATTTAGGTCTAGGTATTCTGTCCTCCCTCCCCTTCCTGTGATGTACCTTATGAACAACATCTTTTTACATAAATTTTTAAGTACATCTTTGGGTATTTCCTTGGGATAAATTCTTAAGTAAAATTACTAAATCAGAGGGTAAAACTTTTTTTGGCTGTTTTCCTGAAAAATTGTACTGATATATACTTTCACTAGTAAGGAAATAATACCCAATATATTTTAAGATTAAAAAAACAACAACTTTGAGTTATTGGGAAATTTTGATAATTTCTTTTAAATACTGTTGTTTTCTACTCCATTTATGATAAATGAGATGCAGAGGAAAGTGTCTTTTGTATTTAAGGTGTCTCAACAAGCAGCAAAGTGTATTCCAGCAATGGTGTGTCCCGAACTGACAGAACAAATCCGGAGAGAAATAGCTGCCTCTCTTCATCAGAGAAAAGGAGATTTTGCTTGCTATTTTCTAACTGACCTTGTAACATTTACATTGCCAGCAGGTAACTCCAACATTTAATATGAAAAGAAGTTTCCATTTTATTATAGTTTTATTTTTAGGTGTGGGTGAAAAATGTGTTGGTGTTAGAAAGCAGATAACTTAGCTTCTATGTGTGCATCTTAAATTACTTGACTGTCCTATTTATGCTGGAAGTGACTAGTACAAGGGCTACTTGTAAACAAATGCTTTAATTATCTGGGAGGAAGACAGCAGCTGATAGCAACTGATTTCTTGTGGGCCTTAGATATTTTTTAAAAATCTGTTTTACCCATTTCTTTTTCTGTTTGGTTTTAAAATATCCTTTTTCAAAGTTTCCTTTTAAAAATTTTCCCCTTCTTTTCATGCCAGTTTGTTAATTGAAATTAGATAGCTATTGGTTAACTGAAATTAAGAGAGGATCAGAACATGAGCTTTTGATGAGGATACTGGCATTCTCTTGTACGTGTGTCATTCCTTTTTTACTTATTACATTTTTCTACTTATGTTGTGAAGCAACTTTTCATTTTTCAATTCAGGGAAAGTCGAAAATGTTTTCCAGGATGCTTTTTGTCAGTTGGCCTTGAATAAATACACCAAACATCAAAGATTTCTAAAATAAAGCTTCCATCTGAGATCTAAGCATTTGAGCTTTTATATTCAGGGGCGTTTACAAATGGTAGGTCATGAAGCCATCTAAAATGAGAGCAAATTTCATTTGAAATGTACTCTGTATATATTTAAGCTTACCCCAAATGATGATTGGATTTTTATTTTGAATTGAAAATGCCTTTTTTGGAAAAAATTATTTTTAAGGGTCACGCTTCTTACTCTAGGCTACTCTATTAAGTAACCTGAATACAGCATAGAGAATTTGAAGAAGGTGACAAAATGGTTGTGTGCCAGAATGCATGGCTTTTATAAGATTCTAAATTCTGAAAATAGTAGGTTTGAGTACAGGTTACCAGTGTGAGGAGAAGAGAACAAATAAAAATTTGTATGTAATTATTGGTCCCAGTGTCATTTTAAAAATTATTTTTAAATAAATCCAAGTTTCGATAATGAAGTACAGAAAGGAAATATTTTACATGACACACACAGACACACACATACATTATACGTGCACATTTAAAAAAAGGCTATTTGACAACGTTCAGTGGAAAGGGAATTATTGGAGTTATTTTAATGAAAGTTATTATTAGATGCTAGGATCAAGTTTTCTAAATTATGAAACATAAGATCTTTTAAGTCTGCTTTTTCTTTTTAGATATTGAAGACTTGCCCCCAACAGTCCAAGAAAAATTATTTGATGAGGTGCTTGATAGAGATGTTCAAAAAGGTAAGTATGGAATTAATGAGTATAATTTTACCTTTCATTTGATCAATGAACTTTTGCTTTGTTTTTGTAAGTTACGGTTTAGTGTGGTGTATGGTCAACTTGCTTTATCTTTTATTAAAATTAGAGATGTAAACCCCTTAAGAGCTGTGTCATACTATACGGTTAAAAATGCTCATTTGCAGCTCTTAACTGTGATAGAGTGAACGTGTAAAGAAAGGTGTACGTGTTTTAAAACCTTAGTTTTCTACTTCCTATTCCAGAATGAGTATATTTCTATATTAAACCTTTTTAGAACATGAAATTGTAAAGAATGTAAAAGTTGAGTTATTCTAGAGCCACAAGATGTTTCACCTACTCAAAAGTTTATATTTTAATTGATAAAATTTATTTAGATATTTATTAGTAGTTTAAATATAAGCCTTTTTACATCTAGAAAATGTTTTTCTCCCCCCTGAATATTCTATAATTCCATAGGCATGAAAATGAACATGTTATTTAAATTCCTCATATAGAGTTAGAAGAAGAATCCCCGATTATAAACTGGTCCTTGGAGTTAGCTACACGTTTGGATAGTCGACTGTATGCACTTTGGAACCGGACTGCAGGAGACTGCTTACTTGATTCAGTACTACAAGCTACCTGGGGCATTTATGACAAGGACTCAGTGCTTCGGAAAGCCCTGCATGACAGCCTGCATGACTGTTCACATTGGTGAGCTGGCATCCTTTCCTGTTTCACTCCAGAAGTGCGCTTGTTGGATGGTTTCCTTGTAGTGCTAGGATACTTATGTCTCAGTTATATTTTCTATGGAAACTAGAAAAAATAGTTTTTAGTTTTAGACATTAAGACACTTGAGCATCCATCTCAATGGTTTTTCTTTTTGTTGAGCTTTAAAATAGAAACATTTGAAGCTTTAAAATGGAAATATTTATTGTTTCTCTAAAGTAGAAACAATGTATTTTAACATTTCAAATACAACATTTCAAGTTACAATGGCCTTAAATTTTGATGAGGTCTTTGCTGGTATTTTTAAGCAGTTATGATTTTATATTTTTGTTCAGCTTTAAGAGATTATGTTGTCAATGGATTGCTATTTTTTTTTTCCTGAGGGAGACAGTCTTAAGATCATGTTTTTAAATTTTGCAAACTTTTAAAACTGCAGGAAAAGTTAAAACAAAATCAGCAACAAATCCCAGGATCTCCTTCATTTGATTGACCAGTTGTTACGTTTTGCCACACCTGCTCCATCTCTGCATACATAAAAACTCTCTGGGTCAATTAGTTATAGATAATAAAGCTTTACCCTTCAGTATTTCAATGTGTACTTTTCCAGAATAAGAATTGATTCAGTTATCCGACATACAGTCCATATTCACATTTTTCCAACTATCTGAAAATGTCCTTTATATGTATATTTTTAAATCTAAGTTTTAGTCATTGTCTTGTCTTGAACTGTAAATTCACCCATTGAGGTATCAATCACTGGAAACAATGACTGTGAATTAATAGTTTGGTCTTTACATTTATTTGACCTATGGTATTTTCTTGGTTCTGTGAATACATTACCTCATTTGGTTATTATATAAATGATAATGTAAATTCACCCATTGAGGTATCAATCACTGGAAACAATGACTGTGAATTAATAGTTTGGTCTTTACATTTATTTTACCTATGGTATTTTCTTGGTTCTGTGAATACATTACCTCATTTGGTTATTATATAAATGATAAAATTGAGGCTCCAAGAGGCTAAATTAAATTGCTCATTATTGTAGTTAGTAATTGGCAGAAGCCATTTAAAAATTTATATTATTTTCCCTTGAGGAGCATGAAAATATGCTTTTTTCTCCTGTATCTTATTGAATACTTACAAGTAATGCTAATGGCTTTACTCCAGTGGTGAATTTTGTTGTTAGTATTTAGTGATGACATGAAGTCCATTAGAATATAAATTCCCATGAGAACAGAGATTTTATCTTGTTTATTCAGTACCTAGACTATTTCATACATAGTAAGTGCTTAGTAAATACTTCTTTTGAATGAAAGTGTTCTAGAATTTGGAAACAAGAATAATTTAATTACTTTCTTGAGAGCTAAATTGAAGATCAAAGCATAATGCAATAGAGTAAAAATTTGTGGTAACCTGAATAAAATAAAATAGTTCCCTGGCTGCCACGCCTGAATGGTAACCTGATTGGATGTATAATATAGCTAAAGAAAGCATGCATGCATCACTTAGGTGGATGACTTAGTCATTTGGACTTTGTGCCTTTTGGTGGAGGTGGCTGCTGTGGATTGATCTGATAGTATGGGCGAGACCATTCCTATTTTGAGGTGGGTTCGCTAGTCTAGGTAAGCTTGATATCATTTAATGTCAGTCTGTCTGACTTGTCTTAATCAGATTGCATACTCACCAAGCAACGTTCTGAAGACCATTTGGCCATGTCTCTGGGTCTTCCTATGCTGAGAGGATGAGAGTGGTTTAAGTTCCCGTTAGTGGTTTCACAGGCCTGCCTTGTAAATTTGGTTAATGTGACTCTGTCCTGGAAGAGGGATCTATTCCCTGGTGTTGAAGACGTCTAGCTTCTTAGCCCGAAAGCCAGATATGGACTATGATAAATCTGCTATTTTGCAAGTCCCCTTTAAAAAGGCAGCCCAGTGGTCTTTGCTTTGGCTGTAATTTTCTGACCTTGTTGTAAGCCTGAAAGTACATTGTAAATTTCATCAGGCGCTATCTTTTCCGAATTCTGAGCTTCGTTTTTTAAAAGACGTTTGTGGCTAGTAGTAATTGCTTTGGGGCTTATGCTACCTATTTCTCGAAGCTGGCAGTAGGTGATCTTCTGGATTGGAACTGCCCCTAATGTTTCTATCAGGACTGGAATTCTGAGGTGTTTCTGAGTCATTTGAGGTCCCAAAAATCTAGCACAGAGGTACGGAGAAAAAGGGTACCTCAGTCTGAGTTAGTAAATGGGCTCTGTGGGGGTGTGGTTGTTAGGATAAGAAGGAACTAGGCTGTTTGTTTACAGCCACTGGTCAGTGGTGTTGGAGCAGAACTCTCAGTAAGTTATCCTGACGCCAAAAAGATGCTTTAGGAGTGAGGACCCAGAGCATCCCAAAACAAAGTGTGCCTTGGTACCACCTCCTTTGATCTCTGATATTGGGGATCTTTGCCTGATTTTAAAGTTTGTGTATAGAAAGCTGCATTGATTATAGTGATCACGCAAACATCATTAGGGTATCTTGGGGGTAAGGTGGGGATGAAGATTATCTTAATGGGGTGAGAAGAAGTGTTAGCGCTATAGATTTGGGTTCAGTGACATGGATCAAATAAATAACCTTAATAAATAACCCTTAGATTGTTCCTATGTTGAGTTGGGACAAGTTTGTTCACTGGGCTTTTTGCCTATTAGATGGTAGAACTGGAGGGGATAAGCAACCTTGTGTCCTGTTCTAGGCCAGGAGAGGAGGAGCCAGTATGTCACTTGTGTAGTCTCCTTTTTACTCCCCGCTTTGCTGAGGTACCCTTTGCTGTATGATACATATCAACTGGAATGAAATGTTTACTTAACTCATGTAAAGATATCTAGTAAGAACTGAGAAAGCAGTATTATTTAAATCCCTCCCCCATCACTTCAGGATAAGGCTATTTTATGTGATAGCTATGCTGTTCTGTTGAATACCCATGATTTTAGCTGACTCAAGTTCTCAAGACAATGTGTTGCTTTTCATTGATATGTCAACCCAATTTTTAAAGGGCAGGTGGGGGTAATTAATGTAAGTTGGCAAAAAAGTCAGTACAGGATTTTAGAATTATTAATGTTTTTGTTTGCTCATCTTTAAAGGGGTTGTCTCACTGAGTTGCCGGTGTTCTTTATGTATGAAGTCCCTCATTGTATGTATATATGTTCTGCAGATATTTTCCTCCATTCTGTGGCTTGTCTTTCCACTTTATTAGCAATGTCTTTTGAAGTGCAAAAGTCTTTAATATGGTGAAATCCAATTTATCAGTATTTTTCTTTTATCGTTCATGCTTTTGTTGTTGTAGCTTAAGACATCTGTCTAGCCTCCAAAGTCCTGTGTTTTCTTCTAAGAATTTTATAGCTTTAACCTTTACAGTTAGGACTATGATCCATTTTGAGCTAATTTTTGTTTGAAGTTTGAGATGTAAAGGTCTAAATTCATCTTTTTTGCAGGTGGACATCCAGTTGTCCTAGTATCATTTATTGAAAAGACCTCCCCCCCATTCTGTTGCTTTGGCACTTATGTCAAAAATTATTTGACCATTAAGGGTTTGTTTCTGAACTCTGTTTTTTCTTGTTAATGTATGTCTGTCCTTGTGTCAGTACCAGCATATCTTGATGTTTGTAGCTTTGTAATAAGATTTGAAATAAGGAGTGTAAGTTGTCTTTGTGCTTCTTTTTCAAGATTACTTTGGCTATTATGAGTTCTTTGGATTTCTGTGTAAATTTTAGGATCCAGCTTACCAATTTCTGCAAAAAACCTAGCTGGGACTTTCATTGGGATTTTGTTGAATCTATAGATTAATTGAGGGGGAAGGGTATAGCCAGCTTGACAATATTGTATCATCCAATCTATGAATGTGGAATTGGGTTTTGAATGTTAAATCAAATTTGTATTCTTGTATTACTTGGTCCTATGTTGCTGGATTTGTTTGCTTGCTTGTTCTTAATGAACCAGGCAGCTTTGGAGTTTAGGTCTTGGTGTGGTGCAGTTTATTTGAACTAGTTATTTGAATGTTTCTTTTTAAAATATATTTTATGAAATTCTCTTATTCAGTAGTTTTTCTAGAGGAGTTTCGAGTGCAATCATCATTGAATTGCTGGCTGACTTAGCTGTCTCATCATAAAATAATTTTAGGCACTAACCAACAAATTTCTAACTGTATACATCTTTCAGTATGTAAACAATTTCTGTGTTTGATATTTCTCCTCGAACTTTTCAAAACAGTGTATTTCATCATTGATGCTAAACCACTCAATATATTTTGTGTATCTTAGCTGTTGTAAAACATTTTGCATTTGGAAAAATAACCCTCAGTTACCTGAAATATGAATTTTTTTTTTTAAATGAAGTAAGGGTTAAACCTCTGAAACCTTATGTTTTAGTTCTTTTAGAAAATCTAAAATATAATAATTTTCTGTGGAGCCCTCCATTAAATTACTGTGAAGATACTTGTGACACTAACACATTTAATTTTTTCTATGCAGGAATTTTCAACAGCAACAGATTGTTTTCTTGTCTTTTGCTTCTTTTACTAGAATTCAAATGCATAAAAGAGAAATGTGATGTTATAAGCAGCTTAAATATCTGTCTTCACTTCAGAGGTCTTGGCTGGCTTGTTTTGTAAGACATTGCAGGAAAAAATCACAATTTTGAGCATAATTATTTCTGGGTTTAGTTAATTTTAACTTGATGTGAAGAAAAGGAATAGGTTCTGTTTTTAGTAAATCAGTCTACCAGTGACCCACTTTTATTTGTATTTATTTTTTTTGGTGGCTGGCCAATATGGGGATCCGAACCCTTGACCTTGGCGTTACAACTAAGTGACCGTGCCCTAACTTTGATTTTAGATCTTCATAATTTAATACGCTGAAATATTTAAAGGGGCATTAAATATAAAGACAGAATTGTCTTTTTTTAAAAAAAGTTATCAGGTGACCATAAGAGAGAAATAATTTTATTTGTGGAAAGTAATCTTTGGGTAGTGATCTTGATATTCCTGTGAACATATGGGATATTTTCCATTCATTGTTTATACGGTGACCAAGTAGTGATATACTGATATAGAAATGTAGTGTCTTTATTGTATCCAACATATGAGATGACTGTTTTGAATGTTTTTTTTTGAGTTTGCAAACCATTAGTAGACAATTTAAACTAACCGTTCTCATCACTAGTGTTTGAAGTTTGATGAAAGTGTGAGTAGTGAATCAAATTCTGGCTGCAGCTATGTTGAAAGATGTCTACTGGCAGAATGGAGGCATTTTTAATTTGAAAAATATATTGCAAGCCAGGTAGAATTAATAAAATTGTTAATCTCTCCACACGAACTGTTTAAAGACTACATTAAATAAATGATTAGAACATTAAATGTACTGCTTATAGTAGGCTTTTTATTGTTTTGCTTTTTTAGGTTTTACACGCGCTGGAAAGATTGGGAATCATGGTATTCTCAGAGCTTTGGTTTACATTTTTCCTTGAGAGAAGAACAGTGGCAAGAAGACTGGGCGTTTATACTCTCTCTCGCCAGTCAGGTAAGGGTGCCTTGAGCCTTGTTTCTATGAGAAAAGTAAGCCACATGGTCTAAATTCCTTGATTTACTTGAGCAAACCTTGTTGGAGGCAGTGTGGTGCAAAGGAAAGGGTGCTGGACTTGGCATCAGTCGACTTGGGTTCTAGTTGTGAGTGCTGTTTATCAATACATGACCATAGTAAGTCCTTACTGCAGAACACGGAGAGTAATATGTTTCTTCTCTTAAGAGATAAAAACTCAAAATGAAAGTCGTGATTATTGTAAGCACTGATATAGTTTTGAGATTGTTCTTCACTCTCCCTAGGCATAGGAGTTTTATGCCTATTTTACCTCCCTTCAGGTTTTTTCTTGTTCTGTATCTGAGGTGGGGTCTTACCCAAGATCACTGAACTAGTAGTAGGTCCTTACGTGCTGGTGCTGAGCTGTGTAGCCCTGAGGAAGTCGTCCGTCTTCTAACACTCCCTGGTGATGAGGCTGTGTTCATGTGGTGGAGTCAAAGGAAAGGGCACAGTCTAGCTTACTCTGAATTACTACAGGAATGATTTCTAATTAATGTGAATGAAGTTTTTTGGTTTGCTAACACATTCTTTTTATAAGTGAAACTTTCCCATAACAGAACTGTGTAGGGTTGTTCCTCTTGGGCTCTTGGTTTCATGCTAGTTTTATTTTGTGAAGCACGTTCAGTATACTAAACTGTAAAGTTCAAATATATGCACAGCAAACCTCTCCATAGTTCATTTGTATTCCTAGTACCTGCTGTAGTTGGGCAGGGTTCTCAGTGGCTGTTCTACATGCAAGACATTTTCCTCATGGCCAGAATCATGGTAGTTGGAAGACAGACCCATTTGGTATTAGTAATTCACAAGTTAGGTGATACTGCCATTAAGGTCTGTATGAAATAACAAAGCTCGTCTTCTTATTTCAGGAGGACTTAGTTATAGGTAGTGCTTTCATAGGTAATTTAGCCAGAATGTGATTTTATAAAGCATCCCTTGCTATCTGAATCATCTCTGGTTCCTGAGATTGGAGAGTGAGTAGTAAGTAGTAGCAAGGTTGGGTAGTCAGGGATAACTCAAAATACTCATTCATCTATTTGGTTTGTGAGTTTGGACAGTGAATGATACCGGGACACAGACTGTAGGTTTCTGTTACAGTTTTATTGGACTTTATTATTTGAGGAGTCAAATGCTTCTTTAACTTGACATGTTTTTCTTGAAAATGAATTGAGATAGTATACTGAACTACGGTAGTATTGTTTGTGGTACTAAGTGTTTTAAAGGAAATTGCCTTTTGTGTTTTTTTATTCCATACAGCCTGGAGCAAGTTTGGAACAGACGCACATTTTTGTGCTTGCACATATTCTTAGACGACCAATTATAGTTTATGGAGTAAAATATTATAAGAGTTTCCGGGGAGAAACTTTAGGATATACTCGGTTTCAAGGTAAGCTATTCTTCAAGAGCATTTTAGAAGCCTCTTTACTTACTATTATAATGTAGTTTGCAAGCACATCCTTAAGTAATTAACTGGGGAGAAGGATCAGAGTGGCTCTTGGAGGTCAGAAAGTAGAACTACGGGAAGTGGGCTATTTTGACCTAGTTGCGTTGTGTTTTTCTTTACTTTCTTTCCAGGTGTTTATTTGCCTTTGCTGTGGGAACAGAGTTTTTGTTGGAAAAGTCCGATTGCTCTGGGCTATACAAGGGGCCACTTCTCTGCTTTGGTTGCCATGGAAAATGATGGCTATGGCAACCGAGGTGCTGGTGCTAACCTGAACACGGATGATGATGTCACCATCACGTTTTTGCCTCTGGTTGACAGCGAAAGGAAGTTACTCCATGTGCACTTCCTTTCTGCTCAGGAGGTAAACAGTGTGTTTCTCTTGTTAACTACTTAAAATAGTAAACTTGTACCAGAACCCAGCATAGGGCACCTTTCAGGGGTGGTTTTATCTGCACTACCACTTAAATTACAGAACAAAATAAAAAAACAAAAGAAGGAAACAAGGAACTAAAGAGTAAAGTCCCTGCTAATGATAGTGGAGTGCTAAGGAGAAAAACTAAAAAATGGGGATTTGTTATTTAAATAGGGTGGTAAAGGAAGAGGTCACTGAGAAGGTGAAGTGAGTCTTGCAGAATCTGGGAGATGAGTTCTAGGAGTTGCAAGGCACCAGTGTGGCTTATGGGAAGTGAGTAGTGAAGGGGAAGAGGTCAGAGGAGGTAAGGGTAGGGAGGGGCTGGGGTCATCAAAGGCCTTTTAAAGCGTTGGCTTTTACTCTGGATAAGCTGGGACACCAGCTCTGCTGAGACTAGAAACCAGGGCTATGGCAGTAGAAGAATACCAGGTAAAGCCACTGTAGATAGATATAGGGGAGCGAAAGGGTGGTGAGAATGTACAAAAGAACACTCTCTCAGGAAGCCCATATTCTTATAAAATTATGTTTTTTATTTAATAAATTAGTAATTTTCATAAAATGTTTATAATCACATTGAGAAAAAAAATTTATAGGTCATAACTTGTATAACTTCAGCCTGTACATAACTTAACTGAGTAAACTTACCTTGTCATGTGTTTGATGCTGTTGACTTTCTGGCATTTTTTTTTTGCCAGGATCAGTTTATTAGAACACTTGCTTTTTGCTATCATATCAAACCAATCTAGGGTGTTCTTCCCTCTAGCTTTTTATGAGTTTTCCTACTGATATCTTTTTAAAATTTTATCAGAGCAAACTGGGTTTTAATCATAAAACTGATGAGAGGTTGAAACCATGTGTGAACGGACAGTTGCTTTGGCCTTTTCACCATTTATCATTCCAGCTGTAGGTTTGTTAAGTTTCTTCTATCAAGTCTCTGATCTGTGGTATGTTCCCCTTTTCTTCATGCTCCTCTAAAAGCTAGGTAACGAGGAACAGCAAGAAAAACTGCTCAGGGAGTGGCTGGACTGCTGTGTGACCGAGGGGGGAGTTCTGGTTGCCATGCAGAAAAGCTCTCGGCGGCGAAATCACCCCCTGGTCACGCAAATGGTAGAAAAATGGCTTGACCGCTACCGACAGATTCGGCCTTGTACTTCCCTGTCTGATGGAGAGGAAGATGAAGATGATGAAGATGAATGAAAAAATCAAAGAGCAGAAGACAAAGGCATTGGATTTGTGATGACCCCGAAACGTCAGTGTGGTGTTCCAAGCAGAGTGCACAGCATGGAGTGAACCGGATCTGGGAAGGTCTGCTCGGAAGTATTTTTGATTCACACCCAGTGGAAAGAATGCATCTGCTGTGTGAGGAGACAGAGAACTTTGGTTGGACTACAGTTTGTAAAGAAACTAATTTTATTAAGACAGAACTTTTTTTTCCTTTCAAATTGTAAATCTGTCTATAAATGTAACGCATGTGGTTGTGTAAGAAATTGTGTAATAGGAAAAGTTGTACCAGCATCTTCATAATATTGATAAATTTTTTTCCAGCATGGGCACTTACAAAAAGCACATGGCAGATGACTTTGTTCCTTTGAGATACTATATTTTCAGTAGAACATGGCATTCTACTTTCACCTTAAAATATTCATTTTACATTAAATCTCGAGATTTGGAAACTTTTTGTACAAATTATCCACAGCAAAACATAAAAATAAACAAGCTTATATTTTACTGATAATTTAGTTCCTGTTGTGCCCAATGAAATAAAATCAAATCTTTTAGGAACACACTAAAAAAAAAAAAAAGCTAAGAACTTTTTATTGAGTGAACTTCAAATAGACATTGTTTCCTTGTTTTGAAGAGGGGTTTTGGTTTCTATTATTATTGTCTTTTTAAGTTTGTTGATATGCCCCTTTCCAGTATTTCGGTATTTATTTGCTTGGAAGAATGCCCTATAATTAGGGTCTTATTGCAGACTCTGGGCAGCAATCTGTTTGTGAGTAGTTATTCCCTGGTTGGAAAGGGAGCAGCACCACTCATCACCAAATGGATTGTGTGACATTGGCTCACTTGGATTCCATTGACAATGTTTTACTCCCAAGTTGCTATGCAGAGGATCTTTGGATTCTTCCTTTTATCACCTCTGCTCTAAGCAAATCCTGTTAGAAGGGCATGCCTTTGCTTAGGCTCATTGGGAATGCCAGTTCAGTACGGAATAAAGATTTAAAAAATGCAACAAGGTGGTAAATGCATTTTATAATGAATTTCTCAGCGTGTAGCCTGAGAATTTTTGCATGTTGGTTAATTGTGGCCATTCTTATTTAAAGTTAAAACTATAATCTTAGGTAGAAAAACTTTTTATAAAAAGTATTATTTGACCACTTCAGGTGTACATTCAGTACTGGGTAAAAATTTCAGACCTATCTCAGGAACACAAAAAGACTTAGTGTCCTGATAAGCACTTTGTAGACTATTGATGTGGCAAGGAATTTGGAAAGAAGCCCCAGATACATACACCCCCCCCCTTTTGATTTAGAGGCTGTGAAAACCTTTAAATATTTGCTTCTTGTTTTCTCTTTAGTTTTGTTTAGATGATACTGAAATGTGTGCAACCTCGAACTTGATGCCACAATACTAAAAATAGAATAATACCCATGAGCTGTCATGTCTTTAGTTCTTTCTCCCTTTCTGAACTCAGTAAAAGGTGTTCCAGGATGAAAGGATCATTGCTGCATGCTGAAAGTTGCAGGAAAAAATTATTTTTGCAGTATGGGTCCATATAAATGAATTTTGATATAATAATGGTAAATGTTAGTTTCAAGTGGTTAATGTTTTCTTGCAAATTGACTCTATGACTTGCTTTCATTTTGGTCAATAGTTTATAATCAAGTTTTTAGATGGCTATCATTCTGACTACTTATCATAACATCTCTCATAACTTTTCTCCATGTATAGAGATAATTCTTTAGTGGGCAGAGGTCCTGTTCTAGTTGCCTATTAGGCAAAATCTGCCCTCTCAATTGAAGAAGCCAAAGAGAAATGTTGGAGGGAAAAGCATCTGGTCAGTGGGAGTCTACATTGTAGTCAGTGCTGTCCAGAGAACTACAGGCTCAGTAGTTAGCATCTACCTGTGTGTTGTGGTCTGGGGAGTGTCGTTTTCCCTGTGTTCCCTCTTTATTTATTTATTTATGATTAGTGACCCTGACCACATATAGTTTGATAGGTATAGCATTCTTCCCTGTGGGAAAGAATTATAGATGGTTCCATTTCCTAGGCTCCAGAAATGGAGCTTTAAATGGTTTTCATAGCAGACTGGCTGTTAAAGGCCAAAATTTTTGGTAAATGAATGCTATGTGAAGCTCTTGAACTATTAAACAGCCATAATTATAGTCCCAAGATAGAGTATGTAGTCCTTTGTCAAAGATTGTGTGTTTGGGTGACAGATGAGTGTCTTACTGACTCTGGACAGTCATACCGTTGGTTCTTTTTCTAGGGCAAAACCAGTGTAGTGGTTTCTGTTCTGACCTGTTCCTCCTTGGAGTCAATTTATACATAATATTCCCAAAGGACTGGGCAACAAAAAATCTGATTAAACAAAACCCAGGTACACCATGGATTTGGACCTGCCTGCTTATGTTTTGACTTAGGCTCATCGTGTCCCAGACTTAATGGATGTTATGGTAAAGTAACTGTTGTGCCTAGATGCTTGGGGCCTCCTTTCATGCATATTTCACCACCTACTTGATGAATGGTTATGAAGAGAATGTTAAACTACCTTTCTCTCCCTGGGGTGATAGGTCAGCGGCTATGTGCTCCATCTCTCTCTATGTGGGGCTGTAATGTAATCTTTCATGGCAGATTTGGGGTGGGGCCACCACCTTAAAATGAGCGAGGGGACAAGGCCAGCAGATGGATGCTTTGAGACACTTTTTTTTTTTTTTTTTTTTAAATGGGAAGGGAAGGGTAAGAAGGGGCTCGAAGGGAGTTTGATACTTGGAATTGTTGGACTTAACACTTGCAGACACCGTGAGTATGAAGGGCTTAATGACATTTTAAAAAAGATTCGTCACGTCAACTTAAAATTTTTAACTAATGGAAATGGCCAATGTTAATTATTTTGCAGCATTTCTTTGTAATTGTCACAATTGTTAGGTTATTGGCAAAAAGTTTCAAGATTCACTTTCCTTCTTTGAGTCAGGTAATTTTGCTTTTGGGTAAATTAAAATTGAAACTCTACAAGTTGACCAACTTTGTTTCTTGAATTGACTTAGCTCTAAACCACTATTTAATCTTAAGGATGGCATGATTTGATAATGATGGACTTGTGTGAGGTTTTGATTCTTTAATTAAACTCTACCACATGAGGTAATTGTCACCATTCTTGAGTCTGGTTATGGAATAGGCAGATAGAACCCTGAAGCCACAGAAGTTGGAAATTAGCTAATTGACAATGCAGTTGCCTTTACACATCTCAAGTAGAACTTGTACATTGGTGAGATGTACTTGAATTTCAGAACTTAGAAATTTTAATTACTTTTTATTGAAAACTGCACTGAACGCTAAATGTTCACCTTTACAATAAACAAATACAGTAACGGTAACTCACACTAAAACAAAACATACTTCTGATAGCCATTATTTTTGTTTGGGACAGTTTAAAGTTTTTCTTTTGTCACAAAAACAGGAATGTACCTATACAAAGGCTCAAAATAGGCCATCTTTTTAAACAAAAAGGCAATGATTCACAAAAGACTATGAATAGAACATGTAACTAGTTGATACAAATCTAATAGGATTTGTTAAAATCAGTCACATCTAATAACACATCTGAAGTGTTCTTGTATAAAATATCACGTGAAGAAAAGAACTTTATCAATGTCTAAAAAAGTGGGTTTGTTCATAGACAATCTGACAAGTTACCATAAAAAGTGTTTCCTGAGACATAAGGAAATGCAACATTATTCTTCTTGAACCCTTTCAGTTCAAGACTTTCCACTCAATAAAATAGCTGAGGATCTGAAACTGAGAAAATATATTTGAGTACAAACAGCTTGTGAAACTTAATACTTTTTTTTCCATCATCAAGAGGGTATAACTGAACTTAACAACCAACGTGCCCGCTCAGTATGCAGTTCAGATTTGAGAGACACTTCTCTGTACAGGAGGAGTCTGTACTGTCTTCAATCCTATGCGTGCAGATATCTAACACAGGCAAACAGTTTTCTCCCCATTTTGTAGTAATTTAATCTTCCTATTAGCAAAAAGAGGTAACCAGCCCTTGTAGACTGAAGGGACTAGAGTCACAGGATGGGGATTTCCTCTTAATATTTTTTATTTCGATGTTTGGAACTCTTGATGCAACATTCTAGAGCAAGGTGCTCAGGACCTGCTGTGCCCAAGGGACTGATAAAGGAAAAAAGCTCTATTTATTCTTTGTGATTTGATGCACAGATGAAAAACTTAACACACAACAACAGAAGTTGGTCGTTAATAAATCACGTCCTAGTCTTTCAGTGCTTCTGTAAGCAGATGACATCTTCAGTTTTCTAGCTCGTGTAGTTTTAACACTGCAACATCAATGATGCATATGTCCAGAATCAGTTAAAAAGAACGTCAAATTCCTTTTTCTCTTAGTTCATCTATTTCTCATTGTCTCTTGGTCCCACGTTTATCTGAATGGTTACCTTTCGGCATCCTCTGCTATTGCTCGTTGGGGTGCTCTCGATTGTCCCCATGCTTTGTGGGCTGGTTGGGAGAGGGAGCTTGGGAAGGGTGTGCCACTGTGGGGAGGTTGTGAGTCACCGGGATGCCTCCGGGGATGATCCCTTCCATGGCTGCGGGCAGTCCTCCCGGAGCCACGCCCACAATGCCCGGTGGATATCTAGGAGCACACAGAAAAAGGGCCTTGTGAGTCCAGCGCAGAGTTGTCAAGCTACTGGCTTTTTTCCTGCTTATGTTTTTTCTTGCAATTAATTTTTATGGGACAGTTTGTCAACCTCCTTACCCACAAAGAAAGGAGAAATCTAGATTTTTTATATGAGAAGTTGGCACCTAATTCATAAATAAATGCCTGAAAAACTATTTAATCCAATCAAAACACTGGGCCACTTAACTTTGTAGCTTTTAGACAACAGGAAAATATTAGCTCATTACTAATTATGAATGTCTGTGGATATTGTACTATTTGAAAAACACATTTTGTACAAAGTAGACTCCAAGTTTTCCAGTTGTTTTAGAAAGTTCATCAGTTATATATACTGGCTGATTTCGTGGTTCCCCAACAGATGGCATGAAGTACTATTAGTGTGGCTGTTACGGACTGAATGTGCTTCCCCACTACCCCGCCCAATTCATATGTTCAAATCCTAACTCCAAAGGTGACGGTGTTAGGAAGTGGTGCCTGTGGGAGGTGATTAGGTCATGAGGATGGAGCCCTTATGAATGGGATCGATGCCCTTACCCAAGAGGGACTCCAGTTAGCTCTCTGGCCCTCTTTTTGCAACGTGAGAATACAAGAAGTCTACAACCCAGAAGAAGGCTTGGCCGAACCTGACCGTGCTGGCACCCTAATCTCCAGCAACCCAGCCTAGAGTACTTTGTTATGGCAGCCCAGACCCCCTAGCACAGTGGCTGCTAGTTCAGTGCCTGCTGTCTTCTGGATGCCGAGATGTGGGCTCATTCCATACTGCAGGCATGACAGGTTGCTGGGTGTGAAGACATGCTGCGTTAGCCACCTACAGGACACATGGTTATTGGGCACAAACGTGACTCAATGTATTTAAACATATTTATGAGGCAGGTGCTGTTGAACTAACCCTTTCTAACTGAGGTGAAGGGGATGGCATCTCACACTGGAAGCCACCCTGTCCCCAGCCCCTGGCCTGCATCACTGTTAAGTCTGGTCAGAAATCCCCAGGACCTCTAGAACGACTCTGACGGTAGGGTCCCTTTGAGCTATGGCCCCTCAGAACACACGTAACGGGGACTAAGAGCCTAGCACGATCTGAAGGAATGAACACAACGCAGCCCTTCAAGGGTGGCCTCCATACTGAGCGGGGGGGGCTGGTGCTGTGACGGGCTCAAGCAATGGTGCTCAAACACGCTTATAAAAGGCGAGACTTTATGAAACCTGAAGAACGCCACATAATTTTGGAAGCAAGAGCACAGCTTCCTCAGCGTCAGCCTTCAGTACACAAAACGCACTTGACCAATGCCGAGGCCCCATGGTTACAGCAGGGGACTGTGGCACTGTTGAGACATCTTCAGTCATCACAATTTGGAGTAGGAGGTGCTATTGGCAACTAGTGGGTGGAGGCCAGGGACCTGCTAAATGTCCTGTAATGCACAGGACAGCCCCTACAAGAGAATGACCTGGCCCAGATGCAGGCACTGCCCAGGGTGGGATATACCCTGGGTTAGAATAAGTAAAACATTTCCTTCTGAGACTCAAGGCTGCAGCTCCTTTCATTTATACATAGAGGATCTATTTATTTTCCTGGAATCCAGCAATAATTGGGGGTGGGATGGGGAGAAAACCATGGAAAACAGCATAAATGACACCACTGTTCCTTTGAAGGCTGCTGCTTTTATCTACCCTATTCCACATTTTCTGACATTGATAGTCACACTGTTTACCCACACTGTGTGTATTCCACCTTTTATCAGTCTTTCTGTGTGGACAAGGACACTGTCCCTAGTTGACTGTACCATTCTTGGCCAGAATGCTTTCCTTGGAAAGACTCAACTTAGAAACTAAAATCACCTCACCGCCGGTTCTAAAATGGCTTTAGGGCGGGCCAGTTAGCTCTGTTGGTTAGGGCACTGCTGGCACCACCAAAGTCCAGGGTACAGAGATGACTGTACCAGCGCCAGCCACAGAAAGGCTTCAGAGTGCAGGGCAATTCCTGGCACCCTGTGGTCAGCCCCAGCTGGTAATTACCCCACCTCCTTTTAGAAAAGGAACTTCTTGCTACTATTTCATAGCTCCAGTTCTAGGCTGTATCCCTAAAGTCAAGTCTGTTCCATGGAAAGTGGCATGGGAACTGACAGGACAAGGCACACAATTCCCACAGAGAAGGGTGTCCTTAGTGCCCGTGTCAGGTGACCTTCCCCGGCGTGTGGGCGTCTGTCGCCCAAGGGAGCGATGCCTGCAGGCCGGGACGAATCCAGTTCCTCTTCTCACCTGTATGTGGCCCCATTGAGCTCGGGATGAATTGCTTGCTGGTCTATTACTGACCACGGAGCTGAGGTGACAAAGAATTCCTTGTTTACACAGTTTCTTAAGCTTTCTGGGATGCGACCTAGAGTAAGATGATTAAAATTGATCAAACATATTTTTTAAGGTCACAATAAGTTCGATATTATACTAAGTAGCTGCTCCTGGGGGAAATAACCTTCAGCCAGCACAGAAAGGAACCTCCCTCCTGCCCCAGTCTGGGGGCCGCCCTCCAGCGTGGATGACACTTATGGTGGCTGGGACTAAGAGGAAGTGATTTCCTCTCCGAAATTTAGTTCAGGGCTTACATAAACAGGGCTCAGCTCATGCAAAATCTAACTTGATCTGAAAAACTAATTCTGCCCACAGGGAAGGAGCTGTAACCAGCAGGATTAGAGGCAGCTCCGCCGCAGAGCCAGCCGGGCCCGATGGCAGCTGGGAGGGGCTCACCTGTGATGGCGCGGCGGATCTCGGTGGCGGCTGCCTCCCGCATCTCTAGTGATGCCTGCTCGCTATACCAGGCTGTGTGGGGAGTACAGATGAGATTTGGTGCATCTTTCAATGGCCCCTGAGCAAAGCTAGATATAAAAAAAATACAGTATATGGGAAAAGTTGAATACATTCCCTACACTATTCCCCAACAGGGAACGCTTGGCAATGCAGAAGAGCAGCCACTCGGATAGGACAGGGGCACGTTTTGTACCATATTGTATAAGGGTTGGGGAGTTTTAGAACATAATTAGCAACTCTCTTTTGTAACAAGTGTCAGGAATAACTGGTAGATCAGACAGAAGAAAAAACCAGTTCTGAAGGCTTGCTTTCCTCTCACCAGAATGAGTATTCCAGGGTATTCTGTGCCCGCTTGTCTAAAGACACCACCACCACCGTTATTTCTCTGCTTCTGAGACGCTTTCTGATGGCCTTTGGGGAACTTCTGGCCCTTTTACAATTATTGAGAATATAGCACACTCCTTAGAAGAACAGGTACTGTAAATGTCATCTCCAGAGTTTCCTACCCGGTGACCTGTCAGGGAAAGTGCCTCAAGTTCAAAGTAGGGGGGGGGTCCAGTGCAGCACTGAACGCTGCAGGGTCCTAGCGGGCGGCGAAGCAGTCTGGCCACACCCACCTAAAGGGCTCCGATTCATGCACGTCCAGAGCTGCCCCTCGTATCCTGCCCTCCTTGAGGGCTTGGGCTAAGGCTTTCTCATCCACCAGCCCACCGCGGGCCGCATTCACGAGGAACGCTCCTTGCCTCATCTGTGGAAGCAAAGAAAAGCCGGTTACGTGATGCAGGCTGCTGCAGCACAAGGCTCTTACCGAGGTTCAAAGAAGCTGCAAACCAGGAGTTTGTTGGTCTGGTGGGTCAAGGTGTGTGCTGAGTGTGGGGGAAGGGAGTAGGAACTCTTGGTGGTAGGTGATGGCTGGCTCTAGGATGGGTGCCGGCGGGTCCTAGGCTAGCTCCTGTCCCTCCCTGCTCAGCCTGGCCCCTCCCGTGGAGGGGGCTCACCTGGGCATGTCACCAATTTGTCCCAGGGACTCTCTTCTCTGCTCACCAGTATGTACATGAACCATTTCCTATCCCCTCTCATGCCCACAGCAGGGGCTGCCACCTTCAACAGAGGCTTCCAGGGACTGAGGGCATCCATCTTCAAGTTACCTGCTTTATGGTAAAGTCATTGATGAGGTGGTGGTTATGTTCATTGAGATTGCAGTGCAAAGAGACGCAGTCACTCTGGTACAGCAAGTCCTGCAGGGTGTAGACCCTCTGCACGCCCAGGGACCGCTCTATCCCATCCTGCAAGTAGGGGTCATAAAATATGACGCTGAATCCAAAGGCCTTGGCTCGAACAGCAACCGCCTGCCCCGTGCGACCTGTGCAGAAACAGAGCATCCAGGTGAGTGAGACCACAGCCCCCACCACAGCTTTGCCATCCCTGCTGGTCGCTGCTGCCAGAGGAACCGTGTGCCCAAAGCTTAGTGATGCCGAGGCTGCAATGACCCCCAGAGGTCACTGGGGCCGAGGTGGGGATGGCTGTTCTGAGGACGGCAATGTTGCTGCTTATATTGGCTACAGCAGGATTTCTTTTTAACTTCCATATTATGAATATTTCCAAACTTGTACACAATTAGAGAGAATATTCTAGAGAACCCCATGGGCCCCTCCCCCAGCCCGACCATCACCAATATTCTCCCATTCCTATTTATTTCCTCACTTTTTGCTTATATAGCAGGCTTTTAAAAATGAATTTCATTCTTTATCATTCTTAGTAACTAACAGGGAACATTATCCAGCCTAATTATCACTGGGTTTGCTCACAAGGGGGGTAAAATGATCAAAACAGCCTGAGCACAAACTGGCCCTGTGCAATCGCTCTCTGGCTGAGGTGGGGCACATGTCTGTGAGGCCGGGACCTGTCCTGCTGCTGCAGCCTTCTCCATGTCCCCAGCACACAGCCTGGGCCTCCAGCCAGTTATACTGGACATCACCTGACAAGACAAGAAGGCTCCTACCACTCCCAAATGGTCACTTGCACCAATCCACGCATACCCGACAGTTTCCCAGAGCAGTTTTCAGCTTGAAAACAAAATGGTTTGTGTGATGCTGGATTGGGCTCTACCGGGGAGATGTGAATAAATCTTTATGTAAAACATTGTTCAAATGTGCAGGCTGGGGGAAAGGAAAAAGAAGAAACACATCTCCAAACAGGAAGCTGTGCTTGTGGGGTAACTTGCTGGTACATATCTCCCCTCCTGCTGACGCTT